TCCGTCGTCTGTAATTTTGTGGCAGTTGAAGTAGCTCGTCAGGATCTCCAGCCAGGCCTCCCATTCGGTGGGGCGGGCGATATCAAAAGCAGAGATGTTGCTTGGAGGGGTCGCCATTGTGCTGCAGCCACGTGGTTGGGTGTCCCCTGGAATGGCGGCGGCGACTGGAGCGTTGAGAAGGGCGCTGCTGCTCTCGGGGTCAGCAGGGTGCGAAGCGGAGCCGGGAGCGGAGCGATGAGCAGTTGCCGGAGAGCTGGGATGCGAAGCGGCACGGTTCCCGGAGGTCTCGGCGTCGGGGCTCGGTGCGGTGCTCGTGTTGGCGTCCGGGTCTTTGTTCATGGGGTCGAAGATCCCATCCTCGTCACCAGTGAAAAGTATGCAGACGGAGAGTGATTTCAGCTAAGCATACCTTTATTTAGTTCAGGACAAAGACAACTGACCGGCTCGCAGGCCGGTTTATATGCATTCAGAAAACCCGCCACCAAGCACACCTAAACACACACCCCTACTCCCGATAGGCTATTTACAGTAACCGGGCGACCATTGGTCTCCCGGCTGGGAAGCTAGCCCTTTTGATTGGGCCGGCTAGGATCCTTCGGAACCTTTGTCTTTCGACTGAAGCTACATCGGAATGGTGCCTGGCCAGCCCGGGCAAGTCCGGGCATGTCAGACTGAATACATTACAAATGTATTCATGCTTAGTTTCTCAAAGGCTGCTTCCACAAAGAGATGATTCTCCATGTACCTCTTGTTGCTGCTGCAAAGACAGAGGCATTCACTGGGATAATGGATCTGATGTGATATGGAAATTCTCCCCCGCTTTTCTTGCCTCTGTGGCTACCAATTCCATGCCCTTGCCTTTTTTAAAAAAAGGAAATAGCTAGATCACTTTAGTATTATAACATTATGATACTCTATTGCAAAACAAGTATCACTTCCCAGCTTTCATTATTTCTTCAAAAGTAAGCCTCTAGCCTCTTGCATTGTGGAGTTATAAGGATAAATGTGCAGGTTACACATTTCCCCTTATATCCCTGCATGAAAGTTTGGACCTGGTCCAGTGCTGCGATAGATTTGTATAACAGTATAATGCTGTAGAAATCTATTTCCATTTTTTAAAATCTGAAAAAGCTTCTCAGGTGGCAGGGGGAAATGGTATGCGCAGGGACTGAGGTAAGGAAAACGGCACTGATCTGAGTGGGACTGGCAGAAATGTTCATCTTCCCATCTACACAAAAAAACGTTCATACCAAACCAGTTTGGGAAAGGACTGCAGGAAGGGGGGGGGAGCCACAGAAACAAGCTTATTAGAGGGCAATATCATGTGGATGCTCCCAAAAACAGGGCCGCAGAAAGGAACCTAAGGTGGAGCAAAATATCAGAGTGCAAACATCCAAATTATGGCTCCCTCTTGGAAGGTACAAAATACCAATGGGGAAGGGCTACCCGTTGGTCCCCCCTGCAAAGGCATCTCATTTCCCCCTCCCCCCTTCCCAACAGCACCCGCAGCCTCTCCCCTTTTCCTGCTTCCTTCTCTCCCTCCCACTCACCAGGCAACCTATCTTTATCTACCCGCTGTCTTCAGGTTTCCCTCCTTCCCTCCACCTGACAGGTTCTTCTTGGGACCCCGCCCCTCCAAGCCATTACGCAGCACGGTGTGGAAGCCGTCTGAAAGCAGTTGCACAAGATAGCTTTCCACTAGATTGTGCCTTTTGTTTTCACAGTCCTGTCCCAAGTGTTTTAGACAACTGTTACCACTGTGCAAGGTGATCATCACGCCATACACTCATCTCTGTTTTGTTAGTTTAAAAGTTTGGGCTGTGGTTTTTCTAATCTTCAGTTTTTGTTTGTGTGTTTTTTCCTCTAGAGTTGGAGTTTTATTCTTCTTGACAACCAATCAGTGTTTGAATAGTGTTACTACAGTTGAACTTTTTATCACGGAGAAAAGGATTTTTATGTAGGTAAATCTGTTTGTAGCAGGATGCCATCCTGCTGCTGATTCATCTCTTAGTACCCCTACCTATTTGCAACCAATTGGTTTTGAGAGTCAATTGGTTTTGGGAGTAATAGCCATCAAGCATAGCTATTAACATGGTAACTATAGCTTAGATCCCAGTGATGTCGATTTGCGAACTTAGTACAGTTCTGCTTGTGTGAGATCTTGTGGAACACTTAGCACTTCTCTCTCTCTCTCTCTCTCTCTCTCTCTCTCTCTCTCTCTCT